ATCGTGATATAACCAGTATATCTTGATATAAACAGTACATCTTGATATAAACAGTACATCTTGATATAAACAGTACATCATTTTATAAACAGTACATCTTGATATAAACAGTATATCTTGATATAAACAGTACATCTTGATATAAACAGTACATCTTGATATAAACAGTACATCTTGATACAAACAGTATATCTTGATATAAACAGTACATCTTGATATAAACAGTACATCTTGATATAAACAGTACATCTTGATATAAACAGTATATTTTGATATAAACAGTACATCTTATATAAACAGTACATCTTGATATAAACAGTACATCTTGATATAAACAGTACATCTTGATATAAACAGTACATCTTGATATAAACAGTATATCTTGATATAAACAGTATATAAACAGTACATCTTGATATAAACAGTATATCTTGATATAAACAGTACATCTTGATATAAACAGTACATCTTGATATAAACAGTACATCTTGATATAAACAGTACATCTTGATATAAACAGTACATCTTGATATGTTTTATAGAGATCGTATAGAGAGATCTAATATACATGGAATGTACAGAGAGATAATAATACAGACAACTGTACATCCCTTCTCCTTGACGATTTATAAACAGTACATCTTTTGGACGGATTGGACGCTCAGTAAGTATTCTTTTTGATTTACGAACTTTTGTTCCCTTTTTTATGAGCTTTCATTTTTAATATAGACTTCAGTTAATCTTATTAAAATTAGACCAAAGTTTCGTTCCGTTTTTTATTAGCTTTTATTTTTTATGTAGCCACTTCAGTTAGGGTCTAACGACAGCCCTCTTGAACATTCATCAAATCAACCTTTTGTTTTTTATTAGCTTATTTTCAATATAGCCACTTCAGTTAGGGTCTAACGACAGCCCTCTTGAACGTTTGTCAAATTAACCTTTTGACCTTGCCCTGCTTTAGCCAATCAAATTAATGAATGACGTATTTATTTTGACAGGAGGTGTTTTCCGCGCGGAGAAACATACAGGTTCGGATATGAAGATGTTGATTCAGGGTATTTCAGCTCGACCAATGGGAATAGTTGTTTTCTCTCCAGACAGACAGAAATGTACGTACGATATTTTGGTGTCTGCGTTATCGCAACTGATTGATTTTGCTACATTTTTGCATCAGTATTTATTCGCAGTTTGCGTATTGGTAGTAATAGCAATGATCTGCCTTCGATCCTAAAAAAGTGTACTACATGAATGTTTGCTATCACCCAGGGATGAACCCTATTGAAAATCAAAAAAATCAAAAAATATTTAGTTTGAGTTATTGCCCTTGTTCTTGAAATGCTCGTAAACACTCTAGAAGGTTTAAATATTGACAGATTTTGACAAAACTTAGTATGAGTGTTCGTAATGACCCAAGGGTGAACCCTATTGAAAATCAAATAAATCAAAAAATATTTAGTATGAGTTATTGCCCTTGTTCTTAAAAAACGCGCTCAGGTTTTAGCCTGTAAAGCCTGTTTTAGCCTGAAGGCCCAATTCTTGACAGATTTTGACAAAACTTGGTAATATTGATCAGTATCGCCCTAAAAAGTTTAAAAGAAGTGTATGACTGAAGGTTGAATATTTCATACTGGTAATTGTTACTGTACTGCTAAATATTTTTATATAAAATCAAAGCTGACAGTGGGCGTATATTTCCTTGCCTGGCAAGCTATCTTTTATTTTTTCAGGTGATGATAATCCATGTGCTAAATTTAACGGGGGTTGTAGTCATGGATGTCATCCGTCGCCGAAAGGAGAACCAGAATGTTCATGTCAAGAGGGAAGTGGATTAGTTCTGGGTAAGGACGGAAAAATGTGTATACCAGAGAACCATAATTGTACGTCAACGCAGTTTGTATGTGAAAATGGCCGCTGTTTGATTCAGAGATGGGTCTGTGACATGGATGATGACTGTAGAGATAATAGTGATGAGAACCCCAATCACTGTGGTATGTAAAATTATTATTTTTACCCTGGTTGGAGGGGCTGACAGTTTCCCCCTGTCAGTGATTCAGGTTGGAGGGGCTGACAGTTTCCCCCTGTCAGTGATTCAGGTTGGAGGGGCTGACAGTTTCCCCCTGTCAGTGATTCAGGTTGGAGGGGCTGACAGTTTCCACCTGTCAGTGATTCAGGTTGGAGGGGCTGACAGTTTCCACCTGTCAGTGATTCAGGTTGGAGGGGCTGACAGTTTCCACCTGTCAGTGATTCAGGTTGGAGGGGCTGACAGTTTCCCCCTGTTAGTGATTCAGGTTGGAGGGGCTGACAGTTTCCCCCTGTTAGTGATTCAGGTTGGAGGGGCTGACAGTTTCCACCTGTCAGTGATTGAGGTTGGAGGGGCTGACAGTTTCCACATGTCAGTGATTCAGGTTGGAGGGGCTGACAGTTTCCACCTGTTAGTGATTCAGGTTGGAGGGGCTGACAGTTTCCACCTGTTAGTGATTCAGGTTGTAGAGGCTGACAGTTTCCCCCTGTCAGTGATTCAGGTTGGAGGGGCTGACAGTTTCCACCTGTCAGTGATTGAGGTTGGAGGGGCTGACAGTTTCCACCTGTTAGTGATTCAGGTTGGAGGGGCTGACAGTTTCCACCTGTCAGTGATTCAGGTTGGAGGGGCTGACAGTTTCCCCCTGTCAGTGATGCTAAAAAGTCCTTCAGAATCTTGATTAAATCGCTGGACTCCTGATGAGTAGTGCTTGAGGAACTCGATTACTGAGAAACAGAGTTGCCGGTGCATCTCAGTTCTGCTTAGTTCCGTCTGTGTTTAATGACTGGTTTTAAACCAATGAAACCCTTCTGCTAAATTACTTTTGATTCGCCATTTTGACATCTTTCTAAGGGTTAATTTTTCCATTACAGCTCTGATCGAATTTTTTTAAAAATTGATCGGTTTTTTTTAGTTGATTTTCTTTACTTTCTTCAATAAATGTGATTTTGATTATTTCAGCTCTTCACACTTGTGATCCGACACATTTTCGTTGTAATAATGGCCGCTGTATTCCTCTCAGATATCGTTGTGATTTCGATGATGACTGTCGTGATAATTCTGATGAATTTGATTGTCGTAAGTAATTAATTTATTCTGTATATACGTTATATTTGTGTGTTAAAGATCCCTTGACAGTTGGAAATCGAAAAAGAGCAGGCTAATGCTGCTGTCCTGACAAAATTTCCCTCATTGTACACTGCATGGCGTTACCCGTCTGCAACAAAAACATATTGGTGAAACATTGGTAGCAGCTGAATAACTTTTCACATGAGGAAATATATCAATTATAAATGTTATATTTTAGCCTACCCTACGTGTGGTCCAGACCAATTTAGCTGTTTAAATTTCCGCTGTATTGATAAAGGTCAAGTTTGTGACGGGGTTGATAATTGTCGAGACGGAAACAAAACAGATGAAATGAATTGTCGTACGTAATCTTTTTAAAGATGGGTTTCCTTATTTTTTAGAGTCAAGTTTCTAATGAATTATCATGTATTCTTAATCATATCATTATGTTCTTATTGCATATAATTAAAGATGGGTTTCCTTATTTTTTAGAGTCAAATTAAGCAAACTATTTGATTAATTGGTGTTTCTAATGAATTATCATGTATTCTTAATCATATCATTATGTTCTTATTGCATATAATTAAAGATGGGTTTCCTTATATTTTAGTGTCAAATTAAGCAAACTATTTGATTAATTGGTGTTTCTAATGAATTATCATGTATTCTTAATCATATCATTATGTCCTTATATAAAAATCAAAAAAATCAAAAATGTTTAGTATGAGTTATTGCCCTTGTTCTGTCAGTGGGTGTATATTACCTTGCCTGACAAGTTATCATTTATCTTGAATTCAAAGAGTTCAAAAGAAGTGTATGACTGAAGGTTGAATATTTCAAGAACAAGGGCAATAACTCATACTCAATGTTATTCAGTATCACCCTAAAGAGTTCAAAAGAAGTGTATGACTGAAGGTTGAATATTTCATACTGGTAATTGTTACTGTACTGCTAAATATTTTTATTTAAAATCAAAGCTGCCAGTGGGCGTATATTATCTTGCCTGACAATCTATCTTTCTATTTCAGCTCCGCGAGTTTGTCCCTCCAATCAAGTGAAATGTCCTAACACCAATATCTGTATTGTAAGACGGTATATGTGTGATGGAGACGACGACTGCGGAGATAATTACGATGAAAATCCTCTCTTCTGTAATCAGGTCACGTGTGCTGCAGGTAAGGTCAACTTTTGTGTAACCGAGGCCCTGAAAGGCCGTGGAAAAGGGACATTGAACCTCGTATAATAATATATTTTACGAGGTTTTAAATATGACTGTTTTTATACGTGTTATTTAATTAGTGTTTTTTGGGTTATTTACAATCAAGCTAAGAATACAAGGTTTTACTTTACTAGGGTACCAAAAAGTCAAAATGACTTGAGGTTGAGGTTTCAAGCGGTCACACATGATATTTGAGGATGGACCGTAGCTCAGTATGTTAGGGTGTTAGAATCTTGATGCCATCTGCTTGGTGTAATGGTGTAATGGTATTTATTTCAGGTGATTTCTACTGTACTGAAACACATAAATGTATTCCTGGAGCTTGGCATTGTGATGGAGAAAACGATTGTGGTTCTAACGAGGATGAATCAGAATACTGCTGTACGTTTTTTAATTTCTTATATTCTTAAAGAGATTGTCAAGAGGTTTTCAAAACTTTTTATGTGTATCAGGGACACTGATAGCATCAATTTACACCATTCTAATTTTCAGATTGTAAAGAGGTTTTCTAAATTTTTTATGTGTATCAGGGACACTGATAGCATCAATTTACATCATTCTAATTTTCAATCAGACGTCCGTATTTCCTGCAATTCCTGTAAAACTTTGAAATGATTTGAATATTCAGATTAACCTTGGTTTCTGATTGTAGCGTTTAACAATCGAACATGTTTTGGTAACCAGTTTACCTGTGATAGTGGTAAATGTATTTCGTCACGCTGGGTTTGTGACGGTACCGACGATTGTGGTGATAACTCTGATGAAGCCGACACCCTCAATTGTGGTACGTTTTTAAAAATTTCCCTCATTGTACACTGCTTGGTGTTTGCCTGTCCAATGAGTAAAACTCATTTTGTTTATTGACAACTGATATTGAAAAAGAGAAGGCTAATGCAGCTGTCCTGTCTAAATTTCCCTCATTGCACACTGCATGGTGTTGTCGGTCTTCATTAGCCCACATGGTGCAGAACAGTAGGATGTAAAACTCCATTCATTTCATTTCATTTTTACGTAAAAGTCCAACATGGAAAATGGAAGGGATGTCATTCCACACTTCATTAAGTTTGAAAGTTAAATTCCCAAATTTAGCTGGTTGAGTAAATGTGAAGAAAACCATATCTCATTAAAATTGGTCTAAAATAAACTTTCTGAAATATACTGTAAAACTTTTAACTTCAGTTATGTTAATTTTAATTTTATTTTTTCATCTGAGAAGTGTTTATCTGACTAAATTTTAACTTGAATTTGTCCAATAATGTTAATTTTGATTTTATGTTTTCATCTGAGAAGTGTTTATCTGACTAAATTTTAACTTGAATTTTGTCATTTATCTTTTTTTCAAATTTTGAATTTTTTCAGCTGAGAGAACGTGCCAACCAGACACCTTCACCTGTGAATCTAACAAACAGGCAGGTTCCTACCCGTGTATAGATAGACGTCGTGTTTGTGACGGGGTGAGGAACTGTATAGGGGGTGAAGATGAAATGCAGTCGTGTCCTGTACGATCCTGTCAACCGAACCAGTTTCAATGTACAAACGGTATTTGTATATCGTTGAGATTTTATTGTGATTTAGATAACGATTGTGGTGATAACTCAGATGAACCAGATCAATGTGGTAAGTTATTTCTACTTTCGCTTTCTGCTCTTTTCTGTTATTTAGGTTTTATTAGGACAAATCTGACCACAGGAATTATTCTTTAGTGTTCCAGTCATCTGATTGGTCAAATATTCTTTGAAACTTATCTTGATTTGAGTACAGGACAGTTTTTGTCAGAATTTAAAAAATTTCCGTGTGTAGGATTATAACCACAAGATCTTGGTTAGAATTAGTGTATAATTTGACAAATATTCCCTGAGTTACAGCCCTTGATTACAGAGAATATACATATTATAGATTATGCTAACTGTAGTTCAGGACACTGTTTGTCAGAATATATAAAATTTCCGTGTGTAGGATTATATCCACAAGATCTTGGTTCGAATTAGAGTATAATTTGACAAATATTCCTTGAGTTACAGCCCTTGATATAAGAAAATATATATTTATAGATTATGCTAGCTGTAGTTCAGGACAGTTTAGCTGTGATA